TGAACAAGACCCGCTTTTTTTTCAGGGTCTAGGATTCACAGGTAAACCCCAAACCCTAAACCCTAAAGCCTAAATCCTAAACCAGGCCCAGTATCTGGAAAGCGTTCTCCATGGGAATCTCCAAGGGGGCATTCGTCGGCGACCTCCGGCCCGCCGCACTTTAGGGCTTAAGGGTTTAGGGTTTAGGGTTTAGGGTTCAGGGTTTAGGGTTTAGGGTTTAGGGTTTTGAGCTCTATGAGAGGTTTTATGCCGGTTCTATGGGTTTCCGTAGAGGCTCCATGAAACTTACAAGGTTGGACTGGGGCTTAGAGGTCATAGGCTGGGGTTTGACTTGAGGGTTTATAGATACTTATAGTGCTGATAGTGTTGCCCTTTCATCCATAAATCCGAGGCCCTGGATAGTTTTCAACCAGAAGACGGAAAGTTGGCGTTTGGGCGAAGGGCTCCGAAGGTGGGGTCGAGGTAGGTGGGGCAATCCAAAGTGCGGATCTTTAAGAAGCCTTAATAATTAGATTAGGGTTTTGGGGTATATCATACTATAGCTTACTTCTCCAATGCGCCAGGGAAATAAAAGGTCAAACTTTGAGATTACTACTAACTTATAAGAGCCCAAAAAGTCTGAAGGTTAGTTATTGGGGAACTAAGTATATTCATGATAGGGAACCACCAAAATAGTATTTCTAATTATTCAGGCTCCTCTCGTAGATCAAGGGGCTTAGGGTTTAGGGTTTTGGGCTTAGGGCCTCAGTCCTACTCACCTTTAACCCTAAACCCTAAACCCTAAACCCTAAACCCTAAACCCTAAACCCTAAACCCTATTTTGAGGGCCCCGACTGCAGCCACTCTTGGATTTGAGTGCGGTAGGAGTCGATCGCGGCACGGTCAACGCCTGCGTCTCCAGAAGCGGGTTCGGCTTACCTGTAGGCTCATACCCTACCCCTTTTTGGTCCGTGAAGGTTTGACCGGGATTTATCGGGTTGAGTATATCTCAGTCCTACACCCTAGGGGCCTTAACGAAGAGGGTTCCTTTGAGGTTTTAGGGTTTGGGGTGCAGGGTAGGGTTTAGAGTTTATAGTGTAGGGATCAGGGTGGGGGGTCTAGGGCTTAGGGGGGTTTTTAGGATTCAGGGGTTCAAGGCAAGGGTCTGAATGATTAACATAGGGTTTGGGGAGGATACATTATATAACATGGGAATACACTGATAGAATCACCAACTCAGAATCCAGACCCCTATGGCATGCGGATGATGGTTCAAAACCAGATGGGTGCTTTTTGGATTTAAGATCCTTTGAAGTTTAGGGTTGTTGCGGTTTTCGCGTCTTTGGGCTGACACATCCGCATGCACAAAGCTGCAACTTGGAAGTTCTCCCGAAATCCAACTCCAATTATTCAGGCCCCTGTATGAAGAGAAGTAGCGTTTGCAAGCATGTACAGCAAATCGCCGTAAGCCGCGCCCCATGGAATTGTCAGGGATCACAGAAACCCCCAATCTTCTTCGCTAAACCCTTCGAACCACAAGAACTACGCTCCAAGTAAACCCCCCAATTGGGTATGTTGCATAGCGAGAAGACTGTTACGTGATCATTTAAGTAAATATTTCAGTCCTAAAGCTCCCAGACACCCCGCCTTCCGGTATGTCCATGGGCGTAGCTGCCGGCTGAGAGGTCGCATCGGAGGCGGCATTCGCCGCCGCCTGCTTAAGCCGCGAGACCTGGCACTCCGGGTTCGTTTGGAGCGGGCTGACTTCTTGGGTTCCTTTCTGGTTTAAGTTTTTGGGCTTTTCGGGTTTAGGGCTTATAGGGTTTAGGGCTTGGGGTTCTGCAAGGGTGTAAAGTTGTGAAGGTTTCGCGCGTTTAGGATCTGGGGAGTTCGTTGAGTCACTGGCACTACGGGCCCTAAACCCTAAACCCTAAACCCTAAACCCCTAAACCCTAAACCCTAAACCCCTAAACCCTAAACCCCTCAACCCTAAACCCCTAAACCCTATAAACCCTTTAATCCTAAACCCTCAAACCGACTACAGGCATAATAAGAGCCGCCCCTTCAGCTCCGGAGCTCTCTCGGGCTACATCAGCTGAAACGGCTACATGAATGACAGCGGGGTTTAGGGTCTAGGGTTTAGGGCTCAGGGTTTAGGGCTTAGGGTTTTCCGAAGAGGCTGCCAAGAGGGGTTG